TCCTAATTTCTTAGTACACTCTTTGTACAAAGACAATAAAGGCTTTCTATTCGATTAGGTACTTAACTGACAGAAGCCCTACAATGCTGTTTCTGGGGAAAGTGCTGCCATAGCACTGTCAGAAGTCAAAGTCTAAAGATGAACGAACTCCCGCTTAATGGTCAGTTCAAGTTACTTTCAGTTTCTCTGTAAATCCAATCACTACTAGGATATGACTTGCAAATGAGGACTTCTTTTGCAAAGTATACTTAAATACAAAGTAGACACAAAGTAAACAGTAAATAAATTATATTTCTCAAAGTGATGCTTTTTAGCCACTCATGGTTCAGAGCAAAAGCAGAGATTATTAATAGTTAAAACTAGAAATCTCATTCTTTTAGTTTGTGGAGACTTCACATATTCTTAATAATGTATAGTACTCAAAGCAATAGTCTGATATGAATGATCCTGTGATGCCTCAGGATTTGTCTCTCTGTTTTGAGCTGTTTTGCCTCAGACATGACGAATTGCAATCGTCCTGGCTGAAGGCTTTTTCTCCTTCACTATCTGGTGCTCTGGATGAAACCACAGTCATGCATGCTGGATATTCATACTGTATGGAAAAGTTCAAATATTATTTGATTCAGGGTATCTTTTTGTCTGTCTTGGGTTTCTACACCATTTCTCTAACATTCTACCTCTGTTGCCAATAAGGCAAAAGCAAATATTGAATTGTCCTCGCTCTGTCCACTCCATCTTTCTCAAATCTTTTTCTTTCTCCAGAGATCCTTGAGAGAGTGGGAGAGAAAGAAACAGACAGAAAGAAATGAGGCAATAGAGATAGTTTCAACTCATTGTGGTAAATCTCAGTGGTTCTTGAAAGTTGCCATGGATACAAACCCAGCCTGTACGGATAAGGGGAAAAAAAAATGTTTTGTCAGGATGTGTCCAACTCTTCAAAAACGTCTGCTGTATTTCTCCAGAATATTCTCTGGACATGTTTGCACTGCTCTCTGTCTAAGTGACATTTGTTTTTACTGCTGGACAGATAACTAACACTTCAGGCTCAGATGGTTAAATGTAAAAAAGAGAAATCCATGGCAACATCTGAAGGAACAAAAGACCGTGGTGCAGCAGCCACTGGACCGTGGTCTCTTTGGACAACTTATGCTATTTAAGCTAAAAGGATAATACAAAACCACAGAATGGCATGGAATCGAGCATGGTGGGCAGAGAATCTATCATTTCTCAAAACCTTTGTATGTTAATACACGGCGACCTTGCAATTTAGCTCTGCAACCCCTTCCTTCACCAATCCCCTTGCCCAGCTGTGCCTAACTGATAAGGTATATTAGCAAGTGTGCTCTTTCTTCCAATTATTTCTTTTACATGTGTGCACAACAAGTCATGGATTCTGTGGGAGGCCAACAGCAAGCATGATTAAAGGCAATGTTGAGGAAAAAAAAGGTCCATTTGATCATATCTTTAAAAAACAAAAGCAAGCTTTGCTTTTCTACATGATTCCCTAAGCAGGGCACCGTTTTGATTTAAAGTGGAAATAGATACTTTCTTTTTTGCTTTAACTTGTAATCTTGAAGAAAATGTTGCCTGCAAGATGTAATGACTATTTGAAAAATGACACTATTGGCATTTAGATTGGTTCCTTAAAAACTTACCATCTGGCAAACTGTGAACTTTCCTGGCAGGCCGACACAACTGTCTTTTTTTTGTTTGTTTTGTCTGACCAGCCCATTAAATAGGTATATAGGCCCATTGTTTGTTTTTTTCTCTTGATTGACACTGGGCTTATCCAATCGGATCTTTAAAGCCCTCCCCCCTTGAGCTCGGTCCATCCATCCATCCATTTCCAACTGCTTTTTCAAAGCCAGGTTGCGGGGACAGCAGGCCAAGTAGAGCATTCCAGCTCCTCCTGGGGGACCCCAAGGTGTTCCCTGGCCAGATGGGAAATGTAATCCCTCCAGCGTGTTCTGGATCTGCCCCCGGGACCTCCTACCAATAGGACTTAACTCCAACAGGAGGCGCCCGGGAGGCATCCTGATCAGATGCCTGAACCACCTCAACTGACCCCTTTCGACACGAATCAACAGCGGCTCTATTCCGCGCCCCCTCCGGGTGTCCAAGCTCTTTACCCTATCTCTAAAGCTGAGCCACCCTTCTGAGAAAACTAATTTCAGCCGCTTGTATCCACAACCTCATTCTTGGGCTCAGTGCCTTGATTAAATACTGCCATGACATTGTTCCGACAGCCCAAAATTTTGAAGCCCCATTAGTCCACAAAATATCCCACTGAACCGAAAACCCATCACTCAGACAGCCTGTTATCCCAGAAACAAAGGCCTGGTCGTCTGAAATCCTGTTCCCCCAAAAATACAAACTTCCAGCAGTTAGTTTCAGTTTCCCAGCAGCATTTGAACAACTGGTACCAGATGTTTTTCACCAAACTGTTTCTGCTTTTTTCAGCAGCTTTTGTGCCACCGAATGTGGGTGTTATGAAGCCAAACATGAGCTGTTTTTTTTTTAACCATAACTAAGTGGTTTTTGTGCCTAAACTTAATCACACATGCACCACAGCGAAACATTAAGTTGCAGTTTATTGGGGTTTAAAGAAAAGTACAATGCAAATATTTTTCTAAAAATTGGGCTGTCTAACTACAGGGAGTGTGTATTTTCAGAGAAACAGGACTTTGGAGCAATGGGTGTTTGTTTTTGGGATACCAGGCTGTCTGAGAAATGGGCTTTCAGTCCAATTTTACGGACTAAAAGGGCTTTGTAATTTTGGACTGTCGGAACAATGGGCAATCCCCAATTAAACAGCCCATTTGCCAAAAATGAGGGCCAATATGGATGATAGAAAACCCCAAGGGAGGTGCAGAGAAACTGCAAGCCACAAAACACTTGTGACCCGGACTTTTCAGACTCTTATAACAACCAGCTAGCTGCTCAGAGAAAACTCAGTCAGCAGCTTTTTCGGTAGCAGCACAGTGGCTTTGTCTCTACCTGTCCTGTCATGCCCTGTGCACGGAGGCAGAATTTAGTAATTTGGTTACGGGACGGGCATCGCCAGGTAATTTTGTCACAAGGCTGTCGTAATGTAAGCCTATGTAACGCTAAAAAAAAGACCTTGATTGGTGTTCTCATTCCATTTGTTGTATCTGACTGTTCAGACTGAAGATTCAGTCAAAAGTTTTATAACTGTCTAAAGTTAATATTTTATGTTCATACTCATTATCCGTGTAAGGGGAAAAAATAATTGTACATTCCCTGATTTTGATATAACATCACACGTGAAAGCACAACAAGCAGCTGATGTAGTGTTGGTACTGTTCACTAGAATATGAATCTGTGGAAAAAAATCAGCGAGTGGACCTTTAAGCTAATCTTCTGCTCTGGTTAAGCTGCTGCAACATTATAACTAAGGATTTCTTGCCATGAATAATCAATCAAGGGTAAAACAATAATCTCCACCAGTGTCAGACAGGTTTTCCACACATAAATAGCTATATTTCAGTTTGGTGAATTATAACAGTCCACTGATGCATCCTACAAGATTTGACACACTGTATGTAGGAGACTTTCGAAAAGCCAGAAGTTTCCTCTGAAAGTTTTTTTTGTTTCTGAACATATCAGAATAGCCCTGGCCACAGCATCACACGGGAGGAGTTTGCTGCTTTCTGACAGATAATAGAGCTTTTTGGCAGTCAGACTCTTTAAAGAAGTCCACGAGAAACCCTCTGAGACTAACAGTAAAATTAAGAAAACACATTGTTGTATGCTGGGTTTTCTCGCTGGGAAAATAAACATAGCTTCACAATTTTCTAAGCAGTTGCTTTAAGACTAAAATATTATTTGGTCTAATCCACACACACAAAAAAAAATAGTCATCTGGCCCTACCCCTGCCCCCTGGTCTTCAGGGATGAGTGTTGTGACATGAAATAATGTGGAGGGAAATGTTGAACAGGTGAAGATTGCTGTTTATGAAACCTTGCCAGAGGCTAAACTTGTTAAAATGCAAAGTTAGAGCCATTTGTTGTATGAGGTGACAGCAAGGGGACAAGGGTAATCAGCTGTAACATAGCAGCGGTGATGATCTGACCTTTGTGTGACCATAACCCTTTATGACCCCCATAAAACCACCTGCTAGATCCCGCTGTAGGGTATGTGGGGACAGAAACACCTATTCAGTTAGTGGCAGCAGGAAAGTGACAGCTTGATGGTTTGTGATCAGGGATTTTTGAGCCAATCGATATGTTGCATTGATGCCTGTCTGACATTGTGCCCTTCAGCCACCAGCAGATTTGTTAATGCTCCATCTCAATGGGTTTTATGGTCCAAATTACACGCTGTTAAACAACATTTAGCACTGTGCTGATACAAATATCTGATTTTAATGAGGCACCTTGTCATTTTTTATACAGCGACATTCCCCTCAATTTCCTAGGTAGTACTTTGTTGCCTTTTTTTAATCATTTCTTGCATTTCAAGTGTTGAAGAGTTCAGCAGAGCTGCAACTGGCTCACACATCACAGGAATTATTTGACACCATTTTATACATGGAAACTATGGAAACTGTGAACAAACCCATTATCGGACTAATTTCTCTTCTCATCCCTGATAAGAGCTCTGCCACGGCCTGTTGACACTCTCGGGAATGTCTGAAAAGAATTTGAACCTCATCATTATTCAGAGGTGCCGATGATACAGTAGACCTAATTGGAAATGAAAAGCAGAACCAAAGCTCGGTATAAAAGTGAACAGTGCCCCCCTCTTGCTTTCAGGCGGATTTCTGGAGCACTGTGGCTACTGCAAACAGCAGAGGCATCTGTGGTCCACACACACATACCCCGCCATCCACCTACATCTCTCAGTGCAAGCATCTCTCCAACGCAGTGCGGCTTTAAGAGGACCGGGGCTCTTAAATCTGCGCTTGGCTCCTCCTTCCGCCATGATGTCAGTCGGAGGGAGAGCGAGAGGGAGAGAGGTGGGCAGTATTGAGGAACTGAGTTCATACAATACTACTGAGACATCTACAGCTTAGCAGACAGATACGGTGAACCGCCTATCCCGGCTCCTGTAAGTGATGCTACACTGAGGCACACTTTGATCCAACTCCATTGGGGGGCGATGCGCTCTCTGCATCCCTCCTTCAAGAGTTTTTTTGGGGAGCGTGCACAACCTCGAATCAGTCAAAACAAGTGGTTATAAAATAAATTAGCTGTAAGCTGTCAATTTTTCATCAGAAGTCCTTTTTTTTCTTGCGCTCTTGGATTGAAGTTTTACGCGCGGGTCAAGACGCCTTTTTGTAACGCACACGTCTAAGTTTGGTGCCAGCTGATTTTAAGCTGGTAAAATAAAGTAGGAATTGCCAGGCATGGTAGGCTAGGGATGCAAAGTTAATGTAAAAACACAGCTTGGATCAATGCGTATCTCCGGCCGTGGGATTGCGAGCCCAAGACACCCGAAGAGGAATTACAGCGTCCTTTTCAAAAGTTGATCGCTGTGCATGATTTATTTTTCTCTCCTGCACATGAGGACCACAGCTTTTTTTAGCGCATGGATAAGTTTTGGTAGTGGATAACATTTTTTTCTTTCTTTCTACTTGCATTGCGTTTTGCTGCCGCTTCTGATGAGGATCCTTTCCCCCCACTTCAGTTTAATTCATGGCACTTCTTTTTTTGTAAATCAGTGATGTCTCCACGCGACGGTACTCACGGTTGATTTTTCATCCTGTTCGAGCGGAAAAGGTAAGCTTTGCTCCCCAATCATGACTTTACTGTTGACATCCAAATGTTTTTGACTTGAGTGGTCTGTGAGCAGATGACTGGTCTGTATCCTGAGCGCATTCAGAGACGCTGGAGAAGCGCCCAGCAGCCTAATTTATGTGCTCCGTATAAAATCAAATTGATGTCTCAATAGCGAGGATCTGCGCTATATTTACAATCTGAGAGCCGCATGAGCCGGGCGAAAATTTACTGATAGCCTACAAGGCAGTTGGATAAATCAGTGGGTTGCGATTGTGGGTCATTTTGATGTTCCGTGGGTTTTCCTAGAGCTGCTCCAAAGATATAACAGGCGTCCCCGCGCACCTGATGTAAATAGAAATTATCCACGGACACGGTGCATCGTGGAGAATCTAAGCTGAGTTGTCGCATTATGAATATAGGCTACTGCGCGGTTGGTCACGACTTCGGGCGTTATTTAGTCTTGCTCAGAAAACACTGATCGCTACATAGATAGGCCTACTTTCCAAGAGCATCCAACTGCAGGGACTTGTCAGTGCAAGGTTGGCCGCTAAGCTCGGTGCGTGGGTGCGCGGTAACAGCGCGCTCCTGGTCAAGCGGTTCAGCTGTCACAGACCATAACCTCAGGGGCAATCAGTCTGCTCACAATCACACTCTAGGAAAATAATTAAATAAATACACCCTTGTTTTCTGCTAGGAGTAGTTCAAATAGTCACGATGTAAATCCCCGTTGGCCTGGAGATTAACCGCCACAGTTGGTTGTTTGGGTTCCTATACCTGCTCAATATGCAATAGATTAATACTGCTGTTTTGTTTTTTTTTTTAAATAAAGAGTCCCATAAGGCCTACTGAACCCAATATTTGCTGGAGAATTAAATCAAATGGTAATGTGAAGCTTCCCAAGGTGAGCAGCATATTTTGGCTGTAGGCTGAGGCGTTTATATTAAAAGAAGAGCCAGTGAGTAAATGGGAGCAGGCTAAGTATTTGTTTGACTTGAAAATTGCAATATAAAACCATCTGCTGGTTGCACATCCGCAATTCAAATTCACCAGCAGCCACACAGCAATTGATCACAGTCTGCAACAGCCCTGATATATTGTATGTGCTGCAACCATATCTCCCAATCATTTATATTCCTCTGATAAATTTAAAACAGGCTGGATGGTTGCAGACTGATGAGTCTGGGCGATGTTAACTTGTCAGGAGGCTGTGTGTGTGTTCTAAAGAGTTCATAGAGGAGCTAATTTGTAGTCTCTGAGATGCTCCCCAGGTGTCAAAGATGGTGTTTTTGCTTTTCATCTTACAGTGTGTGTGTTCAAGCTGCTTTAAAATCTCTGCCTCCACAGTCACATATAGTCTGTATAAAGAGTTTGTCCACCCCGTAAGGCTAAGTAGCTCTCTGATATTCGCCAAGTAGTGTCCTTCTCACTTTCCATGAAGCATAATATACTGAATATGACCACTCACACTGAATTTGCCTCATTCAGAATTCATGATGGTGTCCACAGCTCAAAAGTCACCTGAAATGCAGCCACTTTGAAATATAGGAAAATGTTCTTTAACATGTTTTGACCTTGTTTCTTCAGTAACATCAAAAAAGAAAATTCTACTAAAGCAATTATTCAGTATATAAATATAGTTTTATAACAGTTTTATTTTGTTAATTAACTGCATGGTGTTTATGATAATTTATTTACTTGAGTTTTGTCACATTTTCATTAAACATAATGGATTTTAAAGTCAGAGTTTAGCATTAGAAGATGATGTAAAGCTACAGCGAAACGATCACACTTATATTTGGCGTCAGGATTACATTTACATGTATGGACTGCCCTCTTGAGGTCCGTGATTACAAGGTTGTAAATTAGTTCGTCATTTAGCTAATGCAGGAGGGTAAGAAATATTACCTAGCAACCATTTAATTACCCAAGTAGTACAACTCTCCATAATCTGAGTCTATCTAAGAATTAACAAACTGATTGAAATGTGAAAAGCCACTGGGTTATGCAGTTTAACAGCATTGCCAGATTTTTTTATGCAAACATTGTGCTGCAAATTACGTGTCAGAATTTTTGATAGATCAGCGTCTTTTCCTTTTGCATTGATAAGAGATGGTGTGATGTGCAAATCCCAGTGATATTTGAACTCGAATGTATCGTACATCTTTTGTCAGTATTAAATCTACTGTTAACATTGTCAACGTGGCCGTTTATGTCAAACATCATTCTCCCGCACTTTCTCACTTTCCAGCACGACTCAGGTAATATAGTCATTGTTGAAGTTTCCCAAGAGAAAACAACTTTTATTCCTCCACCGTGTAAAGAGAATTGTTCTGGCTGTGTGGACTAAAAAAGAACTGACTGATCTTGACAGAAACCTGGTCTGTCAGGCTGTCAGCGATCCTTAAAGCTGTTAAAAGAGAAAAAGCCCAAGACAATCAAAAGTATTACTTCTACCAATGCCCTCTTTTGAAAATCTCTTTGGATCCAAAGGCAATATTGATAGATACAACAGTGGTGGAAACCTACCTTTGACAGTTAAAGGACTCCAAATGTCTTGGTTCCCAGCCTCAGACTCACTCCACTCAAAGTTTCCAGTTGAGGGTATCTTTAGGGGTGAAAGTAGGGGGGGTGACAGTAGCTGTATGTCTTTCCCTCTCGGTGCTACCTTCAGCGGATGCAAACACCAGGAAGGCCTGTCCATCATGCTGTTGTGTAAAGTGATCCCGGGCCGGCTTGCTCCTCTTCACTCTGTGTCTCCCAAGAGGGAGGCTTGAGTTTGCCTACTGGATTCAACCTGCTGTCTGGGGCTCAAAATAGCATTTCAGGAGACTAGTGAAATGTAAGCAAAGGAGACACTCTGACTGACACCTAGGATTTCTTTCTCCCTCCCTCTTACTTTTTTTTTCCCTCTAGCACAATTCCTTCTCTCACCTAGCCCTATCCCTCATGGACAGGCTTATAAAGAGTTGTGACAAGTGGAACGCCATGCAAATGTTGGGAAAAATCCTGCTTACGAGAAAATAACCTGCAGTGAGTTAATAGAATAAGAGGAGTAAACAAGTTTGGCTGCAGAATGTTGAACATGCAACATGTGGCTTGTGCTTGCAAAATATCCTAATTTAAGCCTTTTAGTTTCATGTAGGTAGAGACATATCTTCATATATTGTGTTTATATACTACAGATACATGTATATTCCTCCCCTGTTACTAAAATACAATGTCTTAACACCACATTAGCATTGCTAGGATGTCCTTTTTGTTACTAGATTTGTACTCCTGCATGTACTCTGAGTCAAAAACATACTACGCCCCTTCATCCTGCGGAACGTTATTGTCACTTACAAGGGAGAGGGAATCTAGATCATGCTTTGATCTTTTCTGTTTTTTCACTTGGGCGAATCACATCCCATTTAAGGATGTAATTTAAACTTCATTATGCGTTGTGCGAGCTCAGCCTTGGACTGCCTGGCGATCATCACAGTAAAGCAATCGCTGCTCACTCGCGGAAAGATGCACACTTCAAAGTAAAGTGTGTCACACTTACTAATGGGATATATCTCATCAATATTTTGACATGACAGTATCACACCGCCTGCGCTATACGTGTAGCGCGGATCACCCTCACACTGATCAATGTCAGCCATGTTTTTTCCTGTCCAACTGCTCTTTAATGAGTCTCGTGTGACTGCTTTATGAAATGTGTGAAAAGAAATCTGTCTTTACAGGCTGCATGAATGCCTTGCAATTGTTGCTGATTCAAAACCAGCTTAATTAAATTCTTATTTTTAATCAATTCCCCTTTGTCGGTAGGCCGAGAGCTTCAATGGCTACGAACGCTGTTGCCTTGCCAATTTAGAGGACCCCTGTAGAGCAATTTAGGTAGTCATACCTTTTCTACAGGATATTGTTTGACTCATGTAAATGGATGGAAATTTCATAAAGTAGGGAATATTACACTTCCCAAAGAGCTATTTGTGGTCCCTTGTTACTGCGGGTATGTATGCATTTTCAGCACCAGCTGCACATCGTTTCTGCGATGGCTGTCATGCACTTCTGGCATACATCGAAGGAAATGGACATTTGATTCCAAGGCTGATGCCTTTATGAATGCAAACCAATATCTCAAAGAAAATCATGCAGTTGATAAACACTCAGTGAGGGCTGGTGGACCTAAATACACAGTGGGATATGAGCAATGAAATTATATTAGTCTTTACAAATACTGCACTGGAAAACACATGAGGAAGGAAGGAATATTATGAGAAGTAAACAGAGCTGTGCGTTGGTGGCTTTACCCTGATACGTCACTGCGCACTAAAACACACACAAATAATGGTATTCTGTTGTTCCACTGAAAAAAAAAAATCTACTGAACATGGATATGCCTTGATAATTATACCGGAATACCACCACTGCAATGCCAAAAGGCAATTAAAGCCTGTGTGGCCAAGCGTTTGTGTGATTGTGGTGGAAATGATGGGATTTCATTTATTAAAGATATCCGAGAATGGATTAAATGAATGAATAAGTCCAAATGTGAGCTAGCGAACCACATGAAGTAACTCCCCTAATAACTTACTAAATATGCTACTAATTAACTGGTGGAAAGCAGTCAATATTTCATGCTAGCATATACTGGCAGGGAAGGCATTGCAGAGTATGACTCCTTCATCATCTTCCAATGACCTACTTGGGTTTTGGCAAATGGGGTTCTTGCCCTTTGGCAAGCTTTTGCACATATAAAACGGTTAAAGATTTTTGTAGAACAACAGCATCAAAGTGGCAACCAACACAAGAGCATTTATTAATGAATAATGTCCTATGATGGTAAACCCATCTGCACTGTATTTTCAGTTCAGGGGCTTTATCATTAGGCATTGTTCAGCACAAACAGTAAACTGAATGCTGTTCAAATTTGTTGTTGGGGAAAAACACATTCGTCAGGATGTAATGAAGTTATGATTAAATTTCACTAATTTGACTGATGGCGGCTCCCACAATAAATAATTTCACATTGTTGTCTCCTTCCACTGCAGATACTCTAAACAGTGCTCTTATTTTACTGTGTATGTTTGGGCACACATGGGCGTTCATGAAATATTTGAGAGCTCGATTGTTTACATTCAGAGCAAATGAGGTTTTCCATTAATAGCTGCTGTCAAGCGGTACTACACCAAGTCTGTGTGTGTGTGTGTGTGTGTGTGTGTGTGTGTGTGTGTGTGTGGAGGCACTGATGCTTAGGTCTGGATGTGAGGTGCAGTTTATGAAGACACCACTGCACCATATTGACTCAGATATGAGTTAAGTTTTTTCTCTTCATCCCATTTTTCCATGCGCGGTAGTTTGTGAACAAGCTTTCAAAGCAAACAATTTTGTCGCAACACTGAAACCAACTGCTTTCATACTTCTCAATAAAAATATGAAATGGTTCATTACAGCGATGAAATGGATTGATGGAATACGTGAACTGCTAACCTTTACGTGTCCGCTTGCTCAATGGATGTCATCAAAGGTTAATTGTGTAAAACCGCCGTTAATTTGCTCTCAAAGACACGCGAAGGATGTGGGCTCATAACTAGTTAGGATGAATAGGTCAAGTTGAAAAATCTCCATGAGGGAAAATAGTACTAATTACAGCCGAACTTGAATGCCGTGTAATTTTGCTCACTGACGTTGTGTGTTCTGTCTCTTTCTCCTCCTTTCCTTTTTTCCTCCTCCTCTCTGTCTCGCCTCTCTTGTGGCAGAGTTGCTGCTGTAGAAAGTGAAGCTCCCGTCCACTCTTGAGTATGGACTTAGCAAGTCAGGCTCATGCGCTGGTGGTCTTGCTCACCTGTGTGGTCGTGCTATGCCGGGCCCAGGAGAGGGACTACACGGTGAAGGAGGAGCAGCCGGAGAACGTCCGCATCGGGAACCTGCGCAAGGACCTGGACCTCAACCTGGACCCCAGCATCAGGCTATCCTCCCCGCTGCAGTTCAAGCCTGTGTACAAGACAGGTGACGTGCCTTTGGTGAGGGTGGAGGCCAACACGGGGGAGATCTTTACCACCAATCACAGAATCGACCGGGAGAAGCTGTGTTCAGGGGTCTTCGCTGAGAAACGCTGCTACTATGAGATTGAGGTGGCCGTGCTGCCGGATGAGATCTTCCGGTTGGTCAAGATCCGCTTCCTGATCGAGGATGTAAATGACAACGCGCCCCTTTTCCAGTCCACTGTAATAAACATCTCCATCCCGGAGAACACAGCCATCAACACCCGATACCCGGTGCCCTCAGCGTTTGACCCTGATGTAGGGATCAATGGGATTCAACACTATGAACTGGTCAAGGTGAGGCTCACCCCTGTTCACACTTACACACCCACACATACACAGAAAATGAATAGATATTTTGTTAGAGGATGGCCTTAGTTCCTCTTAATTTTCATAGAGGAAGTATTAAAAAACACATTTTTATAAATCAATAGAGGTTAAAAGAAAACTTAGTGTTGATATGAAGCCCATTTCTAAAGGTGCTTTTGGTTAATTTATGAATATTGATTTTGTTTATCTACATTCACATGTTACCACTCAATTAAATGGGCGTCATCAGTGGTTATCAGCTTCATAGATAAAAATTAAAAGGAGCCTGCTACACCTACTGTTATGTTCAGAAGGCCGTTATCAGCCTATTAAATGATGGTTATCTATTGTTTTTCTTTCAGTTGTGTTAGGTTTAGGCACCAATACACAGTGTTTAGGATTACATCACATGCTGTCTTTCAGTTCATCTTCTTTCCCACTTATACTTGCTATTTTAAGTGCATCCACATTGACAAGTGTAGCAAAATGCAGAGCACGATGAGTGTCCAGATGGTGCACTCATAACAGTCAAGAGTGTTGGACACTTCTGACCGCCATCTTGACTACGTAGCAGAAGGGGAGGGACCACCAAACCTGTGAGAAATGCAGCCAAGAAAGCGGTTGCAATTGCTGTTGCTTCGGTGACCAAGCAAGCCAGCAGATATTTAGGCAGGCGATAGTCGCAGTCTAATGTTGGCAGTGATGCTCTGTCCAGTTGCAATTTGCCATTAGAAAGAAGAAGAAGTGGTTAACACTACTCAAAATTCACGCACTACGTAAGTGTCGTACACGATGTGCTACTGGAGGTATCTGGATTAAGACACATCAGGGAATTGTGTTAAAATAAGTGCGTTTGTTACATAATGTGGCGTGATGTGACACATGTACAGACATCAGTTAAAATAAGGCAACACTGACTTTTAGTTTCACACTGGGCACAAAGCCCGGTCTCCTGGGTGAAAGTCCTGTGTTTGTTTGACCCATCCACCACCCCAGCCTCCACTGTATGCTGGCTTTCTCGTTCTTTTTACTAACAATGCCTCACCTGACCTTCTCTTTTGTTGCCATCATGACTACTACACCTACTAGAGGTCACGACTTAATGATAAATAAGGCAGCTTCAGGGGCTGATAAGTCTTCTGAACCTACGAGTAGGCGTAGCAGGCCCCTTGTTACCCATATCTATGAGGCTGATAATGCCTATACAATCTAGTTATAACATTCGAAGCGAGTGCGGTCAAACAGCAGTGGGGCTACAGTCTCTCGAGTGCATGCCAATCATGGTTCCTATATATCTTTCGTTTTATTTGATGTTTGCTGGATTGTCAGCTGTAATTAGATGATTAATAATTAAAAACATCCAAGTACCAGGAGCTGAATCTCTAACTGACGTTAATAGAGGCTATTACTGTATGTCCACAATGTCATGTCTAAACTAAAAGCCATCCTGTTGAAATTAATATAGTTCAATGGTGGATGAGTGAAAGATCATGAAAGATAAGGGCATGAAGCCTCGTGTTACTGGTACAGTCTTCAAGTTACTGGTTCGCTTCATGGATTCAATAGATTAAAAAGCTTTTAGCAGAATAAGTAGGCTTTTTGAAAATCCAAGAACAGAACATTACTCTGATAAACCAAAGACCACTGTAGCACTCTGGCTTGGAGGAACATTACAAGGGGATGAAATGGGAAAGAACAAGTAAAATGAATTGCCTTTTCATATAACCATATGGATGACTGTCTCCAATGCAAGCGAAATATTAGTAAGCACACGCATTACTGATGGATCTCTGACACACTGCTATGCCTGCAGCCTGCCACCTGTCTGGAATCAGGCCTGTTTGGCTGACTATTTTTAATCAGTGAGTCCTTACGATATTTTCTTTCTTTAGATGTTTTATCCCACGTGGTTCTCATGTGTGATTCAGACTCTGCATTATAGCTGCTCCTGTAAACCTGCTGTAGAGCTGTAGTGCTGTGGTGTGTATCCATATCGGAAATTAATTTTGACGCGCTGAAAATATGACCTACTTTTTCATAAAGTGGAATATGTCATGAAGCCTACAATGTTTTATACCAGTCATTAATATTTCCATATGCTTTATTTCATTATGAGGAAAGGCTATAAAGAAGGCGAAGTTTTCAGCGTGTACAGTAATATCACAGAACGTGCCGTAGAAAGTGCACACACAGCATATCCCACACGTCCAATTTACAGCAACAGGTTACATGCGCTGAACATGGTATATTTAAGCAAGTGAGAAGGAGAGCACTGTATTATGTTAATAGGTGTCTCATGCAGAACTAGGAAAAGCTTTTCTTCATCATCTAATTGATGCTTTATTAAACTGCAGTGCAATATTCTCGGTTGCCTAATGGAGTCAGCCCTAAATCCAGAAATGTAGGATAATATCATGCATTCTTCATTTATAGTCTAGACAACACTTTATGCTTTGTGGATAGATGAATATTGGAGATGACATGAGCTTTTACAAATGAAGTGTAATTAAGGAGGGAGATGCAAGCACTCTGGAGGAAACCCTAAACATAATAAATAAAGAAAGGTTAGTGGATTTTGAGAGCACGGTGCGAGACAGAAATGACAATCCATCTTGGAGTCTCAGATGAAGTTAACACTGGGTTTGGAATGAACAGAATCATTGCTGTCCGCGTCTGCCTTGAATACCAATTTGCATTTTTAAAGAGTCCCACTGCCAAGGCCTCTCCAGTGCAATGTCCTGAATTGTTCATGCCTGGAAAATCACCAACCAAATGTTCTGCTCATTATGATGATCATCTGCAATCATTTTCTTTGCCCTTTTCACAATATAAAGCTTTCTAAAACCCTCGCCTAGACCGTGGTTGTATTATCTTTTGCAGGAAATTCTTCTTAGAGCATCCTCAGCACTGCGTCCCTGATTCAGTTCTTCTCATTATATTCTCATTGTACTCGAGATTAATTTCCTTGTGTTCCAGGTTCCATATGAGTAAAACACAGGGAGAGGCATTAAAGGAGCCAGAAACGTGTTCAACCTTTAGTATCCTTTATTTCAGAAGAGCAGAAAGCCAAGGGTTTAGTGGGGAAGGAATGTGCAAGCATTTCCTAGAATAGCTCTTGGCCGCTAAGCCACCCTTGGACTATCTTTGTATGGTCCTGTGAGATTTGTCTCAGAAGCTCCCTCAGAATGATAGTTTGCCTAGTTTCCTTGTGTTGTGCAAAGCATGGTGCCGAAATTGCTACCATTGTGTGGCACAGTGAGTCACACTCAATGGTCCACCACTCCACATGGAGCATGCCCAAATTGTCAACATACACAAAAAAAATAAAATAAATAAAAAGAAACATGGTTGCTTCTTTTTGTACAACTTTGTCCTTTTCCAAAAGCTAAGAGGGACAACGGGTAATTTCTTCCAGCACAATGCTCCAGCGCCGCACATAATGGTTGGTAATCACACTCTGAGTGAAACTCTGCCATCAGTGTAGTGCAGCAGTGTGTTACGTCACCTGAAATGCAGAGAGGCCGTCCTAAGAAATGGTCAAGGTCAGAGAAAGCAATCACATGCATGGATGGAGGAGGATCTCCCATGAAAGCAGATTTGATCACTTTACGTATTCACGGGATAACTCAGAGGCCAACATGGCAACATACTCAAGACTAAATGAGATTCTGCTGTTGGTTTTGCTCTGGACTTTGGCTGTTCACAAACATTGGCCCCTTTCCTTATTCCAGCGGTGTATGAGTCTGCAGCGTCACACACCACATTAATCCAAGTTGCATCTATGTCAGCATCTTCAGACACATTTAAGGTGGGCGTCTTGTTCAAGTCATTTCATGTAGATCAATGTTCTGCTGCTGGCTGGGCTCTGCCTCACTTGATAAAGTGGATGATGAAGTGGGTGTCGGTATTTTGGTTGGGCAGTCTGAAGGGCTCTTAGACTTAACCTTTTGCCACCTACCTAGCTTTCTCCTTGCAAAATTCCTATCTGAAATATACCTAAGACTTTCGAGTGGATGGAGTGGTCTTTTTGCTGGTACTCCAAGCCTGGGCTTGAATAATTTTATTCCTAAACTGATTCTAACTTTGCATTTGAAGATGCAAAATTTATTCAAGCTCCATTCCCAAGTAGCAAGAAACATTTGATTAATGCATTGCATGCTGCCTATAGGCAGTGAATAGGATTTTTGGGCAGAGAGCTCACTGTCGAGCATTTCCAGTTTTCATTAGCATCCTATTTTGACACATTATCCTCTTCTAGGGGTTGACAAAAAGAGACAAACAATTCCCAGCTTCTTTTGTCTTAATTATATGCATGAGATCATGGCCAGGGGTAAAAGTGGATGAGGGATGGAGGGAAAGAATGAGGGAGGAATGAGAGAGAGAGAGAGAGAGAGAGAGAGACAGAGAGAGGCTGAGCTTCTATCAGCATTATAAAGAGGTGCTATAGCTTGTGATGAATAGCCCTCCCCAGTTAGCCCTATCCATGGGCATCACCGTGACTAGAGTCCTCCTGATATATTCACAGCCCAATCTCAGTCTCCTCTTAGTTTTAATAAGGTCATCAACTTGACTGAAAGATGCATCCACTGATAATCTGAGGTGCTGTCTGCAGAAAGGGGGTTCAGAGTCATCCTTCCCTCATCATCAGCCACCTCTGCTTCTGTCAGTATCCCTCAATCATTTCCATTTGAATTAGCCAACTCTGATTAGATTGTGTGCCGCACACATCCCACGTATACAGCGGCCCCCGATCCCTCCCTGATCCACCGCAGAGCAGGGACCCCATAATGTGGAGTGAATGGCAAGTCATCAAAGTTCAAGAAGACATGCACCTGTACAGTATATGTGTGGCGAAAGACTGAGGCATGGTATAATGTGCACACTTAGCCGTTTAGAGAGCTTTGTCCTTCTCACTCAGCCTTAGGGTTTCCAGTGAGTGATTCATGCAAGTATTTGGCCTTTTCTTAGCCTGCCCTAGATCTTATCACAATCCACCAGACTAATTCTGCATTCAGGAGGATGCACAGCCTGAGAGATAGCTCCCTTCAACTTATTGAAATGCGCTGAGTGCTGTCTTGTCAGTTGTAAAATTGTGTGAAACCAAGACAAAAGCATAGAGGAAATGCTGGCTCATAAATCATTGTGCAGCATTCCCTTTGACACATCCTAACTCAACATCCTACTATTAAATCAGGCTTTGCCAAATATCAGTGTGCAGATACTCAGCTACTGTGCCGAATCTGTGAACTATTCAAACAACTGGGGATTGAGGAGCTCTGTGCGGATGGAGTAGTGCTTAGCAATAGAGCCCCCAGAATGTTGTCTTGGACCTTTCAGTTATGACAGAAATAGTTCTTCCATGTGCATAAAGATGCAGCGCAGTTCATCCATAAGGCCGCTTCTCGACATTTCCATATATCGTCCTATATACCATGTCTGCGTTTCCCTATGTGATTTTTGCTTGCCAGAAGGATCACAAAATAAGGTCTGAAAGATCATTGCTGCAGCGTTGGCTGGTTTAAGTAGTTCTGTCAATCACTGACATGTTGACAACATTCCCTCGGCAAGCAGTTTTTCAGAGTACATAATAATTTACATGCTGCAGCTGCATGTTGCCTTGTGTCGGCTACAACACTGTGCTGGCACGAGGACGGTTCTAGATTTTAAAACCTTCTGAGGACTCTTGTGCTCACAATTTGGTTGAAATGTTCCTCCCTTGAACGAGGAGAATGTATATATCTTAATCTCATTTGATAGCTGTGCCTAGACAGAGTAATCTCTTCCAACATTATGTGCAGCATGAAGCTTATCTCTTTAAAGAGGATGCTTTTTCTTGTTTTACCATGAAACTGCTTCTGACTGAAAGAGCTTCAAAGGGCTTCTTTGTTTCATAATGTGCATGCAGCTCATTCATGGGCTTCATCTTCCTCTTATTTCCTCCCCCTGCTCTCTCTCTTTCTCTCCGTTTCTATCACTTGTCTCCCTCGCTCCTTCCCTTCCTCTCTCGTCTAATTTGAAAACATTTATGGATCCATACTCTACCCCATCTCAAATTGTAAATATTAGTGCTAGTTTTTTTAGGTGGAAGGCAATTACTCTTAACAGCCAGTGCCAGTTCCTGCGGTTTCTCATGGGGATTACTTATGCATTTGTTTTCATTTTCCTCCGGCTTTACTTTTGCCTAGATTTAGCCCTTCTTGAGCAAAAAGCCCTCCTAATATGCAGGGTTTTTCACTCCCTTCTCTTAATCTGTGGTGATCTGGTCTTGCAGTGTATTTAAAATGGTAGCTCATTGTTGTATCTCCGTTTCCAGTTTTCTCCCTCCCATTTTGAAGTTGAAATGCTGCAATGCTGCCTCCTCTATTCTAACTTGACACAAGATAGGAAGGTAGAGTGAAATCTCATTTGAAAGCAGAAAAAAGGAGGTAAATGAATTCCTTCGAGCGGCTGTTACTGGGAGAGGTGGATGGACTAGATTTACTACAATGATTGGTCATATTTTTAAAAAGCTTAATAAACTGATATGCCCTGTGTTTCTGGGGGGAGTGTTGCACAGTGTATGTAGAGAATGAGTAAGAACCAGCTGATGATGAGTATGTTTGAGAATGCTTTGGATTAACGGGTGCCCAACTGAGATGAGCAGAACTGAGCCAAAACCAGCTGCCTTGTTTAAAAATGTCCCGGGCCGTTTAATTTGCTCTTGACATTCATCACTGCCTAAGAGCCTGATCCTTAGAAGGGTTACAAATAAACTGGAGTAACCTAAGGGAATACCTCGACGAGCTGTTTAGCTTTCTAAGACGACTGACAAATCTACAATCTAAGAATAATTCTACACAAACTATTATACTGAACTACAGAAATGAAAATGTGATATTGTTATAAATGTTAATATATGTCAGTTATAGTTTTACAGTTTACACAACATATGGCACCCTCTAACCTTAGACCCTGAAGCCATATGAAAAATAATCCAGTAGTCTTTCATAGGAGGAGATTTATGCCATTTGGTCAAACCTGTCCTTCACTGATATATCCCCTTTAAGTTTTCCACTGTCACAGCACTATCCTACACCATGAGATTTGGTGAGTGTTAGGCCCACTTCCTTTTGGCAGCACACCTAATAGACAAAGCATTCATGTCTGTACGAGTGCAGAGGACATCACTGTACTGATGAGGGCAATAATCTACAAGTGGTGCCACATCTAGTCCTAACTGTGCCATTTTTCTTGGGGTCCCCCCCCTGTTGTTTGTTTGTTTGTTTTGCTGGTTGTTGGTTTGTTTGAAAAATCTATATAAACAAAAGACAATTGCAAAAAAAAAAGTCATATCTGCAGATGTACCTGTAGGCAGTGGGAAAAGGTTTTGGTACTTGAAGCGTTCTGGTCTGTCCTATTAAAGTCTGTTTGTAGTCCGATTAGTATCGACCAATCATGCGGCAGGTAAACAGTCCATGTTGAGCGCAAAAAAAGGCAGAACCCATCAGCTGAAATGCAATCTCGTAACCCACTGGCTATCATTTGCTGAGGATTATGCGTTTAATTAGCTGTCCTAAAAATGTATCTGCATTAATATCTGTTTATAGAGATTAGCCAAAATGACCAGCACATGGAAGAGAAAGTCTTGGCCCAGATATCTGCTGACTACAGCAGAACCCTCGAAATATTGGTCGTTGCCCCCAGAGGCTTATTGTCATCGACCAATAGCCGATGGGTTCCGAGATTGTTTAAAGAAAAACTAAAAAAACTTTATCATTTATTAATTGTGAGTACTAAACAGAATAAATCTGACTCAATATGTTGTCTTGTCTTTGCAGAGTGTCAGCGAGTTTGGTTTAGACATCATCGAGACCCCTGAAGGCGACAAGTGGCCGCAGCTCATCGTTCAGCAGAACCTGGACCGCGAGCAGAAGGACACCTTCGTCATGAAGATAAAGGTAGAGGATGGTGGCAACCCCCCCAAGTCCAGCACCGCCATCCTCCAGGTCACCATCTCCGACGTCAACGACAATCGTCCCGTCTTCAAGGACAGCGAGCTGGAGGTCACCGTGCCGGAGAACGCGCCCATGGGGACATCTGTTGCTCAGCTTCACGCCTCGGACGCAGACCTGGGTTCCAACGCACAGATCCACTTCGCTTTCAGCAACCAGATCTCTGCCTCAACCAAGCGTCACTTTGCCATCGACAGCTCTACGGGACTGATCACTGTGAAGCAGCCGCTGGACAGGGAGGTAACTCCTGTTCACAAACTCATCGTCCTCGCCAGCGATGGCAGCTCCACCCCCTCCAGAGCCACAGTGATTGTTAATGTTACAGACGTTAATGACAATGTTCCCTCCATAGACACTCGCTACATTATCAACCTGGTTAATGGGACTGTTCTGCTCTCTGAAAATGCACCTCTCAACACCAAAATAGCCCTCATCACTGTTACTGACAAGGATGCAGATCTTTATGGCAAAGTAGCTTGCTACACTGACCATGATGTTCCTTTTCGGTTGAAGCCTGTCTTTAATGATCAATTTTTACTAGAGACAGCTGCCCCCCTAGATTATGAGACGACTCGAGAATATGCAATTAAGATAGTGGCCTCGGATAGGGGGACGCCTCCTTTGAACACTTCAGCTATGGTTTTAATTAAAATCAAGGATGAGAACGACAATGCACCCATCTTCCCCCAGCCGGAAATCCAACTTTCCATACCGGAGAACAATGACCCCTCTACACAGTTAATAAAAATCAGCGCCACTGACGCAGACAGCGGACATAATGCTGAGATTATTTATACTCTTGGCCCTGATGCGCCTGACGGGTTTAACATAGACAGACGGTCAGGAATTCTCTCCGTTGGCAAACGACTGGACAGAGAGAAGCAGGAGAGGTACTCATTCACTGTCATAGCGAGGGACAATGGCTCCACGTCCCTGCAGAGCAATGTCACTGTCAGGCTAATCGTCCAGGACCTTAATGACAACAGCCCAGCTTTCACACACCCTGAGTACAACTTCTATGTGCCTGAGAACCTGCCTCTCTATGGAACCGTGGGCTTAATCACAGTGACGGACGCAGATGCTGGAGATAATGCGATTATAACCCTGTCTGTTTTGAACGGGAAAGATAATTTCATCATCGACCCTCAAACCGGTGTGATCAAACCCAATATCACCTTTGATAGGGAGCAGCAAAGCTCCTACACATTTATGGTCAAAGCTGTTGATGGGGGGCAACCTCCAAGCTCCTCCTACGCCAAGGTCACTATTAATGTAGTCGACGTGAACGACAATCGCCCTGTGTTCGTCATCCCGTCCTCCAATTACTCATATGACCTAGTGCGAATCACCACCACCCCTGGTGCTGTGGTCACCAGAGTGTTTGCCATTGACAATGACACAGGTATGAATGCTGAGCTGCAGTACAGCATTATCAGCAGCATCATCATCACATCTAGGGTCTCCCCTCGAGGTCTCTTTGCCATCGACAAAACAACGGGTAACATAACACTGCAGGAGAAAATAGTGGCAGCTGATCAGGGGCTGCATAGGCTGGTAGTCAAGGTCAAAGATCTAGGCCAGCCTGAGTCATTACACGCCATCGCACTTATTCACTTGTTTGTCAATGACACTGTGTCAAACGCTACCTTTATCCAAGAGCAGCTTCGAAAAAGTATGGAGACACCCTTGGATCGTAACATAGGGGACAGTGAGGTAACACCTCAAGCCAACGGATACGTGATTGTTGTGATAGCAATCATAGCAGGGACCATGACTGTCATCTTGGTGATATTTGTGACTGCCTTGGTGCGGTGCAGACAGACACCCAGACACAAAGTGGTGCAGAAGGGCAAGCAGAGTGGCGAGTGGGTGTCACCCAACCAAGACAACCGTCAGATCAAGAAAAAGAAGAAGAGAAAGAAGCGATCCCCCAAGAGTCTCCTCTTGAACTTTGTGACCATAGATGAATCCAAGCCTGACGACCCCACACATGAGCATGTTAATGGCACACTGGATCTCCCTGTGGAGTTAGAGGAGCAAACCATGGGGAAGTACAACTGGGCCACCACGCCCACCACCTTCAAACCCGACAGCCCAGATTTAGCCAAGCATTACAAGTCCGCGTCCCCTCAGCCTACATTTCAAATCAAACCGGAGACTCCAGTGGCCCCAAAGAAACACCATGTGATCCAGGAGCTCCCCTTGGACAACACGTTCGTGGTGGGCTGTGACTCACTCTCCAAGTGCTCATCGACTAGCTCCGACCCGTACAGTGTCTCAGAGTGCAGCTGTCAGGGGGGATTCAAGACTGCGGGGCAAATCACCACCCGACAGGTAATTCATGACTTCCTTTTTAAACCCACCCACACTAGTCCCCACTCACACTCCCCTTGCTGTCCCATGGTAGGTGATGTGAAAGGGGGAGGGTGGCAGCATGGAGCCAGGGGATTTCCCCACACAGGCCATGACCACGTCTACATGAATGTCATTTGCACTTAAAAAATGTGTGCAGCGAAACAAAAAAATAAAACATAATTTGTCGCAATTAATACAGCAAACCTTTCACTGTACTGCTTGTTATTAATTCATGTGTTCACCCTCCTTCATAAGCAGCCATAAGTGCATAATTATTAAGAAAATACATGTGCAGGTTAATTCTATGTTCAAAAGCTGGAGGAATGGCAGCAGTGCAATTATGGTGGCTCGCTATTTTAAACTTCAGTGTGAGTGGTTGGTGGCAATGTAGCCTGATTTAGAAGAGCCTGGGATAGGCGGCACTGATTGAACTCTCTACTGATGTATTTGAGGTCAAGGGCGAGTGATGCTGTGTGCTAATATATTTGACTGACATGTTTAAACAAGGCAAAGCAAAAAATAAATATGGAAGCCACAGTAACAGTTCATCAGGTATTCATCCGGGCAAAAAGTGTGAAGGTAATAGCACAAAACAAAACAAAACAAAATGTGCCTTCTGACGTGCTAAAACAACGTGATAAATAGTCCCACTTTTTTTGTGGCTTCTGTCCTCAAAATATTAAGTGCTGTCTTAGCTTTGCCAGTGAGGCTTTGTGGGAGAGAGGCTCATTTGAATGCCAAGGTACAGCAAAGGGCTTATGATTCCGTAAGAGATATGTGCCAAATGCGAAGTGCCCCAATAAATAAAAGCTGGCGAGGGAAATAAATGTAAATCAGAGGTAAGGAGAGGTGGCCTTGCTCAGTGCTGACAGCCAGAGCAGAGCACTGTGGGGAAGAATGAGTACTTCTTGGGGTGTGGGGGGGGAGGGGGGGGGGGCACAGGGATCAAGGTGACGCAGAGCCTTGAGACCAATATACTTAAACACCGAGGGAGCACTAGTCCATAAAAAGCCTGCCAGGCCGACGTTGCATTTAGCACCATAAATGCTCTACTTTAATGACCCCAATTATTGTTATAAACGGCATATGTAGATACACATTCTTTACATTCTTCAAATTACCTCACACAGGCGAGGCTGTAATGACATCACAACAAAGGTCTGGCGGCTGTGATGTGTTGTAGTTGGTGCTAAAGAGGACACCGAGGATCATTGCATCCCTAATACATGACAGAGTATATGTACATGTTGATATCTGACCCGCTATCACCAGCACAATGGAGCTAATCAAGGCTGACTAGTCTGCACACAGGGTAATAATTTATTTATACTGATACGTGTGTCTCCATATTTCCCCCTCAATGTCAAACATCCAGCTGGATTTGTTGGCTTTTGCCACCATTTTCTTTTCTTTCTTTTTTTTTTTTTTTTTTTTGTTTTTCATTTTTGTTTGTTTTTGTGATTTTTAGAGGGTTTGGTTGTCGCTCGGTTGCACTGGCTTTCATTTCTGTTCCTGTTTTGATCATGATTATCGCGACTGCCATTCATCCAATTCTGGGTCAATTTCATGATATTGCATCAATAATTGATTTTGTTTGATGAGGTGCTTGCTTTTGTTTGTGTCTAGCCTCATATTGCACACAGTTTTCAGATCTTTGGTTCATTTCTGTCTCTTTTCTGCTCCCAGTGTGCTTCTGTGTGACATCTAGCAAGCGTTCAAATTCCTCATGGCATAGTTTTGATAAATGACTCTTGATCCCGTGAAGTATTGTGCTTAGGATAATTTATGAAGACACCCACACAGAGTTGATAGTCATTCCCTTCATCCACCTTTTATTTGAAATCCTGGTTAAAAGCTATGCTCTGCCATGGTACATTATACATAAGCCAACTACATGCCCTTGGTACCAAAGATTTAATTCATAATGTGTTTATACGACACACTGACGAGTTGTCAGGATGATTTTCCCCTCTTACTGGTGGTGACTGCCCTGAAATATGCAGAATTATTCACTCTGTGTTCCACAATTCTGAATTATTATCCATCATGAATTTTATGCATCAAGGATTTAAATTGATTTTCACTTATGTTGCTGATCAGAGTGAAGTATTTTTGTCGGAATAATTTAAAATCAATGAATATATGATTAGTAAACATGCTACCAAATCTTCCGGCTCTGTTTGAATCAGTTTATTTCATAGGTACTGTATATTTATTCACTCCTCTAAAAGAAGGCAGGTTTAATCTGTGTAATATTCCCATATTTGGGTGTCACACGCTCCCAGAATTTGAATATTATCAAGAAAAATATGTCCTCATTGCCTCTACTCACCACCCATATCCTCAGTGATGCTAAGCTGATAATACATCAAATTTTCTCTGTCCCCCTGAGCAAATGACAAGTGATGCCTCCCACTTTAGACATTAGATTTCCCACCAGTTTTAAGTGTGCTTATTTAAAGCCTGTGTCATGGAGAAAAAAAGTAGCATGAAGCTTTGCCTGATGAGAATCGGTGGCTGCAAAGGTTAATTAAATGCACTAAAGGGTTAATCACTCGTAATACAGTATGATTAAAATCACCGTAATTAGGTTTCGAATGAGGCTGATAAGACAGAAGAAAAAAGGCAGCCGTCCTTTAAGATTATCAGCGATGCCACGTACTATCCTTGGGTGAGTCACGTTCCCAGGATCTGAAGTGATGTGACAAGATGACCAGCTGTCCTGTTTGTCGACGCTATTATAATTTCATCTCTGCTTGATTTCACCTCCGTCTAAAGTCTGAAGAAGAACACTTATAAAACAAAAACGACACTCCTTCAAAAAGTGTGGTTGTTGCTTTTATCTGAGGAGGTATAAAAGAGGAAAAAAGAGAGAGAATATGAGCACTCTAGAATTTGAAAAGATTATTTCAAGTGTGAATGTTAAAACAAAAGCTGAATTTGGTGTGTCAGTGCCAGCGACTCAGTCTCTCCTGAGCCCTAAACCTAATACCAGAGGTCCAAAAGCAAAGATCACAGGCAGGTTGTCGTGTTTTCCTTTTTGCTCATCAGAGTGACAGATGGTGCTTTAGCGCCTTTACAGTGATCTCTCATTGCCCCACACCCTCCCACGCACCTAAAGCAGCTGAAAATACAGCAAAGACAAAAAGCCCACCCATGGAATAACGATGCGGAGGGCACGCGGGAGGAGATGATTACGGTTGAAGGTCAACAAAATGTTTTCAGGGACTTTACAGATGTAGCTGATAAAGAATAAAGCTTGTAAAAATACTTTAGAGACCACAGATTTGTGTCACCATATGGCTTCATTATACAGCAAGAACCCACCCACCCCCTCCCCTCTCTTCTCAGTTTTTACGCATCTCATCATTTTCCTTTAACCCCTACACCACGATATTAGAGGTCAATCTGCCTCCAGTGATGGGGAGCTCTTGTGAAAGTATGTGCTGTAGCAGAGGCAGATCAAATGAGTACCACCCCGCTTGAGTGATCTCAGACATCACGGTGAACATGCACGGAATAAAAAGGCTAATTCATTCTTTTGTTTGGCCCGTAATTCCGGAGCACGTATAGGGTCGGCGCTTAACGATACTGACCTCCTGCTACTCACTATAGGAGACGCTGCTGGTAGTGTTTTTGTAGTGTCACACACGCATACATTGCAGTTTGATTAAATACCCCTTAGACCACAAGTGTTGTCGTTATGCCTAATTTATAAGGCAGTTTATTCTATTATCCTTAAGAAAAAAGATCATATTATAAATGCGCTGGGTAACGAGGGCAGCGGCGAGCACTTTGCATATCGTCATTTATTTGTGTGGGTGAAGGTATGGGCCTTTCACACTAGCCACCCATGGTCTGATGACAAAGCGCTTGTGCTGACTCATAGTGGGTGCATAGCCAGGGGTGGAAGCCATGTTTTAAAAGGCTAACTAGGGCTTGTTAATCAAATCCGATGGCGGTATTAAATTCCCAGCGACTGGTTATGGCTTTATTTTATTTTGCTATCATTCTTTTTGTTGTTGTTCTTTTTCTGTTGAGTCATTGCATCTGTAATCACTGTGCTTCGCTAATGTAAGCACCACCGGGTCAGATTCTTCCTGATTCAGATATTGGCAGATGTGTTGCTAAGCCTTCTTAGGAACGGCAAAATGTCATATTCTGTACATATCAGAGGACCCACTGGCAAGGGTCCGAAAGAATGAAAGAGTGGGGCCTAAATTGATCCAAATGGCTTTTTGAGGGGAAATGAAGAGTGCTGCACTAGTGTGGTGGGAGACAAAAAGACAAATTGGGAGTGATAATTGGATAAGATTGCATGCTCTGATAAGTACAGGAAAAATGCACAAGCTTGTGACACTTGTAGCATTCTTCAAGGAAACCTGACAAGATAATGACTTGATTGCCAGCCGTGCCTTGAAGAATGCTTTTTATTTATTTTTTTTATCTTTTATTTTTTCTATATCTTCTACACTCTCTTCGGAGATTTTTTTTATTCAGTGTTCAGCGTAGCCTCACGCTGATAAGGCTACAGCTTAGGCTGCTCAGAGCTCGATGATATTGTAACTACAATCTCCCTATATCTGTCTGTCTCTCTATATTTCAGGAGACGGCACTGAAACCACCACACTATGGCACACTCTGTGGCACAGGTACAGCTCGCTCCCACAGGATTAAAATCAATCTCTAGCTCCCACTACCTAAAGCGAGAAAAAGAGAGAAAAGAAAGAGAGAGGGCAGAGGGAGGAAAGAAGGAAGGCGAGAACTGAAGAGGTGAAACAAGTACTTTACTGTCTCTACAGCCTCAAACCCCACCTCTTCGTACAATCGAGGGAAAAGATGAACTTGGAGGGGGGAGGGGAGGGGAGGGGAGGGGAGGGGAGGGGGGGGGGGGGTATCTCAGAAAAAGAGAGACACTTCATGTTGCCTGCCTGAAACTTGACAAAGCTCCTCCTGTGAATCTGTTGGAAGTTTGAAAT